ACAGCAGGTTCTAACCAATTTGATATTCTCCACTTTGAAGGAAGGAAGTATTAATGTTGCCTTGTCTGCTGCATGGAGAAAGGACTTCTATTATCAGAACCTGCCACTTTTAAAGCTTTCCACTCATATATTCCCAGGGATGAGTCAGCATCACCTTGCTCATCTCACACCTACCCTTTTTGCTTCTGCTTTCACTCCTCTCTCCCCTTCCCAAACCTGTAAAACACTGCTACCCTTCCTCCTGTAGGCCAGGACAAAACCTTACCTTGGCTCCCCACTTCAGGGACATTGTGATTAATTTCATGAAGACTTACTGAATGCAGTGTTAAAATCCCATATACAGTTTTTGGCAGATGTTGAATGGGTGAGGAACAAGTAATAATAAATAGCAGCTAGATAATTGTATGTACATTAAACATGATCTTGGCTCGATTTTGATCTTATTTAGACTACTTATTTAGACTACAAAAGGAAGTTTTTCTTCACACAGCGCACATCCTTGCCAGAGGATGTTGTGAAGACCAGGACTTTAACAGGGTTCAAGAAAGAAATAGATAAATTCCTGAGGTTAGGTACATCAATGGCTATTAGCCAGGATGAATAGGAGTGGTGTCCCTAGCCTCTTTCAGAGCCTGGGAATAGGTGACAGAAGAGGGGATTGCTTGACAATTTCCTGTTCTGTTCACTTCCTCTGGGACATCTGGTATTGCCCAGTGCTTGAAGACAGGATACTGGCCTGGGTGGATATTTGGTCTGTCCCAGTTTGGCCATTCTTATATTCTTAGTACAAATTTGAAATAATGTCACTAAAAACAATAAGGTTAGAAGTGTGTAAGTAAGACTGTAACTAGGCTTACGGTGTTTTATTACTATTCTACTAGGGTATGTCTACACTACCCTCCTAGTTCGAACTAGGAGGGTAGTGTAGACATACCCTAGTAGAATAGTAATAAAACACCGTAAGCCTAGTTACAGTCTTACTTACACACTTGGATTTGAATTTCCCGGGCTTCATTTGCATAAGCGGGGCTCCGCCATTTTTAAATCCCCGCTCGTTCGAACCCTGTGCCGCGCGGCTACACGCGGCACGAACTAGGTAGTTCCTAGTTCGAACTACCTAGTTCGTGCCGCGTGTAGCCGCGCGGCACAGGGTTCGAACGAGCGGGGATTTAAAAATGGCGGAGCCCCGCTTATGCAAATGAAGCCCGGGAAATTCAAATCCTGGGCTTCATTTGCAAGTGCGGTATGCCTACATTACCCCGCTAGTTCGAACTAGCGGGGTAGTGTAGACATACCGCTATTCACTAAAAAGAGATGGACAGATTAAAAATGATATGTGGTGTTTTTAACAAAACAAAAAAGATTTCTTATGTCTTGTTAGAAATAGTGGAGAGCATAAGAACCAAAAAAGTATTGCAATATCTAAGGTCAAATCATGCTCACATTACTTCTGTGAGTAGTCATTTAAAAGTCAGCAAAACTTTTACTGTAAACCAGAATTCATTTTTCAGTATTTATATTTGTTTACTGTTCATACTTTGTGCAGCTTAGTTAATGATAAATGACTCATGAGTTTCATTTTTGCTTGTAGTATTTGCAGAAAGAGCTGAGAAATATTTAAGACTCTGGCCTTGCAAACATTTAGTCTTGTGAGTAGTCATGTCAGCGTGACAAAAATCCAACTATCCTCCACCTGCCTCCAAAACTGTATATTCAGATTTAAATTTTTTTAAATTAATCTTATTTATATAAAACATTGTTGAGGTGAGAAGCTTTTATAAATATTCTTTTGAGGACTGAGTTTTGTTATGGGCCATCAGTGAACAGCGCTGCAAATATTAGTGGATTTGTTCTTGTAATATATGTCAAAAGTACTTAGAATATTAGGCAAATTGTATGTATACTTTTATAAATCATAGAACCATAGAGCTGGAAGAGACCTCAGAAGGTCATCAAGTCCAGCCCCCTGCCCAAGGCAGGACAAATCTCAGCTAAATCAATCCAGCCAGGTCTTCGTCAAGCCGAGACTTAAACACCTCTAGGGATGGAGACACCACTACTTCCCTAGGTAACCAGTTCCAGTGATTCACTACCCTCCTACTGATATAGTTTTTCCTAATATCCAACCTGGACCTCTCCCACCACAACTTGAAACCATTGCTCTTTGTTCTGCCATCTGTCACTACTGAGAACAGCCTTTCTCCATCCTCTTTGGAACCTCCCTTCAGGTAGTTGAACGTCCTAGTGAAATAGATTTTCCTAATATCCAACATGGACCTCTCCCACCGCAACTTGAGACCATTGTTCCTTGTTCTGCCATCCGTCACTACTATGAACAGCCTTTGTCCAGCCTGTTTGGAACCTCCCTTAAGGAAGTTGAACGCTGCTATCAAATCCCCCCTCACTCTTCTCTTCTGCAGACTAAATAGGCCCACCTCCCTCAGCCTCTCTTTGTAGGTCATATGCCCCAGCCCCCTAATCATTTTGGTAGCCCTCCACTAGACCCTCTCCAATGCATCCACATACTTCCTGTAATTGGGGGCCCAGAACTGGACACAATAGTCCAGATGTGGCCTCACCAAACCCGAATAAGAGGAATAATCACATCTCTGCATCTACTGGAATTGTTTCTCTTAATGAAACCTAATATGCCATTAGCCTTCTTGGCTACAAAGGCACACTGCTGGCTTATATCCAGCTTCTCATCCACTGTAATTCCCAGGTCCTTTTCTACAGAACTGTTACTTAGCCAGCTGGTCCACAGCCTATAAAAATGCTTGGGATTCTTCCGTCCCAAGTGCAGGACTCTACACTTGTCCTTGTTGAACCTCATCAGATTTCTTGTGGCCCAATCCTCCAATGTATCTAAGTCACTCTGGACTCTATCTCTGCCCTCCAGTGTATTTACCTCTGCCCCTAGCTTAGTGTCATCTGCAATCTTGCTGAGGGTGCAGTCCATCCCCTCATCCAGGTCATTAATAAAGATGTTGAACAAAACCAGTCCCAGAACCAAACGTTGGGGCACTCCACTAGAAACTGACCCCCATCCTGACATCAAGCTGTTGATCACTACCCGCTGGGCCCAACCTTCTAGCCATCTTTCAATCCATCTTACCATCCATTTATCCAATCAACATTCCCTTAACTTGCTGGCAAGAATATTGTGGGAGACTGTATCAAAAGCCTTGCTAAAGTCAAGGTGTATCACATCCACTGACTTCCCTATATCCACAGTGCCAGTTACCTCATCATAGAAGTTAATCAGATTGGTCAGGCATGACTTGCCCTTTGTAAATCCATGCTGACTATTCCTGATCACCATCCCCTCTTCTAAGTGCTTCAAAATGGATTCCTTGAGGATCCCCTCCATGATTTTTCCAGGGACTGAGGTCAGACTGACCAGCATATAGTTCCCTGGATCGTCCTTCTTCCCTTTCTTAAAGATGGGCACTACATTTGCCTTTTTCCAATCATCCAGGATATCTGCCGGTCTCTACGACTTTTCAAAGAATGAAACAATAACAATTTGTTATAATTCATCAAAACCTGCAATCTAGGTGTAATTTTACCTTTCATCCTGCTTTAATGTGAAATATACTGTACACTATCTCTAGACAGACTAGTCAATAGGTATCTTAGACATGAAAATGTAGGGTGGAGTACAGCAGGCACATAACACTTTATATGTTGAGAAAAGATTACATTTAAGGTCTATTAAAATGGGAAGTATTCCTAGTACAACTGAAAAATGTGTAATTGAATGTAGCATGATGTTCTAGTAGCAATGAAATTATATAGATTATTTGGTAAACCAGCATAATGCTATTCTTTTTGGAGTAAAGAGATAATAGAAAAATGAGTCTGAGTTTCCTGTACCATGCTCATATTCTCTCTCTCTCTCTCTTCCCTCTCTTTCTTCCCCCTTCTATGACTATCTGGACTTTACAGTAGATTTCGTTTCAGAACCATTCCAGCCTGGTGGTTAGACTTGCTAAAACAGGGTAAACACTAACAAGAAAAAACAATGAATAAAGTGAAATTTAAAACTGCCTAAAACAAAACTAGAAAGAAGAGTAGGGAGGGGTTATACAGCAAAAATAGTAAACCAGAAAAAATGATTGTGTGCTAGTTCGATGTACAATAAAACAAAATAACACTAGCACATTGTATGAAAAATGAACAGACTAATGGTACCTCTGCGTAGTGGTGCTAGAAGGTGTCTTCTTTAAACGCAGAGTTTGTCTTACATTGATGGAGAGCTTGGCAACTGTAAAGTTGATAGAGTGAACTTTAACTGAAATTTCTTTGCAAACCAAAAGTGTCTTTTGGATATGCTGTCTCTTTTAAACTCATTTGTTGTTGCAACTTGTTTATTTTATACAGTGTTTCATAGCATTTTGTCTAAAGCTCTATTATTCAACTGAGTAAAATGTAGTTTTTTTTGCTAAAGAAAAATGGCAATATCTTTGCAAATATTATAACCTTATATTTTTATCGTTTGGTGTGGGAAAGAGATGATTCTAATGGCTTTTGCTCTGTTGACATCTGCAGAATGATAATCCAGACATACAAATTGCATTAGAGAACTGGATGAATGGAATAGATAAATACACAGATATTTTATTTCTTTACATTATGTATTAAAATTATAACCACAAGCAGTGTTCCCTCTAAGCTTCACAGGTTATTAATTAGCCCGGCCCAGTCAGTCAGCTCTATGCACAAAGCCCTGAGCCTCTGACTTGGTGGGACTGATGGAAGCTGTGCTGCCGTGCAACTTAGAGGGAACACTGACCACAATTCATAGACTGCTCTAGCTAATGTGAAAAATGTGAGAATTTGATAGGTTAGGCCAAAATTATTAGCTTAGCCCTTAAATAGCAATCAAAACCATCAATGAATCTATGACAAAGGGAAACCAGGACTAAAAAGCAAGAAACTAGAAGACTTGAATGCAAAAGACACTCAATTAAAAATGTATGTTATTTTTATTTCAACAGCTCACGGCCAGGAAGACCTCCCAAGCGCTCTCTGGGAGTTGCAATACAAGAAAACGCACGTCTTCTGCCCCATGGAGTCCCAGGCCTGTTATCACCAGGACTTATCTCCCCGACAGGTAATAAAATCCATCAGATGATGAGCCTGGTCTCTTCATACTGCACAGCAGTTGAAATAAACTAATATTGATCCAAATGCCATATCCAGAGGGCTTTTCAACTTTTACCGGAGGTTACATTATTGGATTTTTGAGTATTCATGAAAACTGTGTTTTTATGCTGCAGTGACTAAAATCTAATAGATTTTTACTTTAATTCTTTATTATGTGTAATTTCCTTAAAGGAAATTCCATTAGATACATTATTTTATTACCAACCCCCACCCCCTTGGTAATATTAGCCATTACCTTAAATAGCCTTATTTCTTCCTTTCTGGTTCATGTGTCTTTTAGTTCTCATAGGCTATAAACAGGGTGGCTAGTATATATGTAAAATCATTAGTTTAGGAAGACATAAAACTGGTCACATTTACTATGGAAACTGTGGTTATCAAAAGGATGAATAAAACTAAATTCAGAAGATCATGAAGTTTTGTTTTAGTTCTCTTAATATAGTACCACAATATAAAATAATGGAATAATAATACCACCTATAGGTTATACATATGCCTAAAATACTACATCATTAATAGTGTGTTGTTGCTATTCTGTTACTTAAGGCAATGTAAATTAAAAGCATAGTGAATATACATTTCAGTGAAGCTTCTTGTTACCATGCTACCAAGTGATAGTGCAGTGTGTATATGTTTATTTGATAATAAGGTCAACAATACACAACCAAATGAATTATAGTAGAATGTAAACAATGACTTAATATATAACAGTTGTAGAAATCATACTGATATTCCCAAATTACAGTCCAGAAACATCCAGGGCATTGAATATTTTGGATCATTACCAAGGACTTGTCTCCACTACTGGTGGGATCAACACTGTGGCAATCAATCCACTGCGGGTCGATTTAGTGTGTCCAGTGAAGACCTGGTATATCAACCACTGATTGTTTTCCTGTCGACTCCAGTACTCCACTGGAATGAGAAAAGTAAGGGGATTTGACAGGAATGTTTCTCCCATTGATCCAGTGTGGTGCAGACCCCTCAGTAAACAGATCTTAGCTACATTGACTTGAAATACGTTACTAACGTTACACACATTGCAAGGTTACATTGACTTTTCCCCACATTGTAGACCTTCCCTGAGACACAAGCAGTCTTGCATGCTGTTTAACAAGAGTTGCATTTCTCACCTTGCAGGAGACATTTAGAATTTTGATGGGACGGACTGTAATGGAAAGGGATATGCCCCTCTTTAGTTATTAGGTGGCTCATAGGGAGTGCCTGGAGAGTGGTAATGTGGGCCTTGATCCTGTAATTTCTTGCACATGGGGGACTGCTACGCTGTCCCACTGAGCGCAGTAAGACTCTATGTGGGCACAGAAGTCCACCCACATACAGGAAGTTTCAGGTTTGGGACCTTATATCGTCCTATGTCCCATTGTGCAGTAAGTGGAAATCAATGGATTTTACTTCTCTGGATGCACTGGGCTATAATAAAATACCACTATGGAATCAGGAATAAATTTTTTAAGTAATATTAACAGTAATAATTGCTTTAAACACAGTCAATATTTGGAAGCATTTTGCTAGATTCATCCCCCCAGTTCAGTTGGTCCCAGTCTGTTGTGTAAATATAATAATGTGTGATTAATAATTCATTTCTAATGTAGTGAAGTTCTAGAATTATGTATTCACTCTGAAGACTGATTTTCATAAACACATTTTTTATTAGAATTCTAAAAAACAGTATCCATTCTTCCCAGGCTAAGTGTTTTCATATTTTCTGTTTTATTTATTCTCTACTGGTGACAACATGTACAGGAGGCAACCAGTGTTGATAAATTGTTGCCAAATGTTGACAAATGCATTTGCAAATAGGGTCTAAAATTATGCAAAAGGCATATTAGATTAAAGTGGTAATGTTTTAGTACCCCCGGATGCCTTGTGTGCATAGTAAAATAGTATTAACGTGGCTTAGTGTGGTCCTCTTGTGCTACTCTGACCACAGAAAGTAGAAGGGCATACTTTAAAAGTACACAGAATAAATCAACTCAAAAGATTAAACTTCAAATTATTGGACAGTGTTTTGGAAATAGTTGAACATGTTTAACCAAATATTAAAGTAATTTTAAAAATTATTTCTGCTACGATATTCTTCAGAATGAAGAGGTATTGTGATAACTACAAGTCCTTTGGAGACACAAAGGAGAGCCTATATGGTCACAGTATTCCCTACGTACTTTGAACTGTTCTGCTCTGTTGTCTCCCCTCCCCAGCTCCTCAATTTTTTAGGAGTAACATTAGTTCAAGCCAAGGGATTTGGTTCCAACTAAGGCGAACCAAACGCATCCCGGGGTGCACTTCCTGGTTTGAATCAGTTGTGATTCGAACTAGCGTGCCGTGAGATCTTGCTAATGAAGTGCAGGATATTTAAATCCCCACTTCATTAGCAATTTCGAATGCCTGCATTTGCATCCCTAGTCCGAACTAGGGTGCAAGTGTAGACATACCCTTTGACAGGAGTGCTCCAAGGGGAAGTTGAATCTATGAGAGTTCTCCTTCAGTTAAGGCTAGGTGGGCAAGATACAGCCAGTGAGCCTGCCAATCCACCGGATCTGGCCCACAGTTGCCTTGCCAGGACCCTTATTACAGAGCAGCTCATGCTTCTTTAAACAGCTGGCTTTTCTGTGCCCTGGATGCTAGAGATAGAGGAGGAGACTTCATATGCTGCCCCTGCACCCTAACAAAATTCATTGGCTCCCATTGGCTAGCTTTCAGCTAGAAGAAGCTGAGAAATTTTGCTGGGGACAGAAGCAGCGTGGGAAGCCTCCTCTCCCTCTGTACTCTCTCTTTTCCAAAAAATGAAGTAAGAACACTGCATTTTAATGCTTCTCAAAAGAGGTGAGGTGGTTATACGACTAGGGTGATATGTAGTAGACTAGAATCAGAGGGATGATCAGAGGTATTAATCCATTGTCTCCTGGTCACATGACAGTTTGGGTACTTACGTTCTCACACCTGTCATTACTTGTTTGGCCTGGGCTCTCCTTTCTGTAAGTAGTGACAGTCCTAAACAGTGTCCTAGACAAGTATTTTTTTCTAAAACAGTGTTAGCTTTCTGTTATGTGGGAAGTAGAACACTTTCTCCTGTTTTCTGGGCAATCTGGCTGCACTTATAGGCTATCAGCCGGAGAGGAGAACAGTCAGGGCTGGAGAGTGACTAGGGAGAGAATGTAGCCAATTGGCCCAGCCTGAGGAGAACCTGCTCTTTCCATTGACTAGGAAAGTGTGTTGGGGAGGATTCTTTCCTCACACGTTGGGGTTTCCTCCTTTAGCTCATTCTTCTTCTCTGTCTCTATCCATGCAATGTAGATTTCCACCCTAGGGCTATGTCTACACTGGTGCGATCTTGCGCCAGAAATATGCAAATGAGGCAAAGCGTGGATTATCGCCGAGCCTCATTTGCATATCTAATGAGCCACCATTTTTGCAAAAGAGGCTTTTGCGCCAGAAGGAGCTGTCTACACTGCCCCTTCTTGCACACGAAAAACCCTCTTGCGCAATGCCGTTATTCCTGAAAATAATCAGCGTAACATAGCCTAAGTGTCTTTTCTTCTTCTGGACCTCCTCAGGATTCCATCTCCATTGAACTCTTTCCTCTTAAATAACCCAAGCCTCTCATCTTGGTGAAGCAAATATAATAGCCAGGGGGTGGATTTGAACCAGGAACCTATGGAGCTTACTATATATATCTCTACAGCTTGAGCTATAAAGCCAGATGCTTATTACTTTCTGATGGAGAGCTCCTTTGTTCTTATCTCTGGCTTTAATTGGTCTAAGTGCTATGACAAAGGACAGTGAACCATGCTAGGGCTGCCCCCTTTTGTGCAAAAAAATATGTAAATGAGGCAAAGCGTGGGAGATCACTGTGCCTCATTTGCATAATTAATGAGGCTCTATTTTTGCGTAAGAGGCTTTTGCCTCCCTCTTATGCAAGAACCGTTCTTTTTTTCATGAAGATCGGCTCTTGCGTAAGAGGGGGTTTTTGTGCAAAGAGAAGCAGTGTAGATAGCTCCTTTTTGCTCAAAAGCCTCTTATGCAAAAACAGAGCCTCATTAATTATGCAGATGAGGCATGGCAATATTCTATGCTTCACCTCATTTGCATATTTTTTTGCACAAGAGGGGGCAGTCTAGATATAGCCTTGGTATGTGGATTACATACTTCCGCAAGCTGAGGTAGTGCTATTGAAACTGCAGTTTAGATGTAGTTCTTTCAAAAAATAGAAGCCTTGAGGTTTACAGGATCTTTCAAAAAAGGCTTCTATTTTCAAAAGAACTGTGTCTAAACTGCGTTTTCAATTTCAAAATAGCGCTTTTTCAAAAGAGTGCCACTACACGATTATGCAAATGTAGTGCGGTAAATTCAAATCCTGGCTTCATTTGCAATTTCAAAGTGCCTAATTTACATCCCTCTGTCGAAAGAAGGATGTAGCCTAGACGTACCCTAAGTGTGTGGATTACACAAACACACAAAGATGTCTACGTAAATCTGCCTTAATGATTCAGATGGGACATTTTAAAACTCATTGGCTACATCTCAAGCATATACTGAAGCATAGAGGCTACGTCTACACTGCCCTCATTGCACAAGAAAATATGCAAATGCGGTGAAGCGGTGAATATTGCTGTGCCTTATTTGCATACTTAATGAACTGCCATTTTGCTCAAGGGGCTTTTGCACAAGAGATGTTCTGCTGCTTTTTTTCAGGAAGAATGGCTCTTGCGCAAGAGAGGGTTTTTGCACAAAAAGGAGCAGTGTAGACAGCACCTTTTTGCGCAAAAGCCCCTTGTATGCAAATGAGTATGCAAATGAAGCATGGCAATATTCACCGCTTCCCCTCATTTGCATATTTTCTTGTACAACAGAGGGCAGTGTAGACGTAGCCTCTATGCTTGAGTATTGAAGCTTTGAAATTTTCCTAAGTCAGACAGTATGTCTTTC